GGTTGAAAATCGATTAAAATATGTGACTATTCAAATCGGTTGAGATGCTAAACAAATCGCGATTCATTTAGGTGTAGGAGTTTATATGAATGCATGTCTGAGGGGAACTTACTGTTTTTAGAAAAGTTTAGATGATATTTTTTCTTTTCATCTTGCCTCTGTATAATGCATATTAAAGTTAATAAGTTCAGCGCTGCTTTGTTTACAGCAGAAACCAGTGAATCTGCATCTCATTCAGCTCATCCACTGTTTCATACAGATATTTTTATTTATAGTTTCACAAAACTGAAGTCAAACCATTCTGTTTTTGCTTCAAATTTCAAAATTATACAATCTAATTTAGATGAAAAACTGCTCATGTTGCATGTATGCAGCATCTTTGTTTGGATCATGAGTAAATGGTAATGGTTGCCTCTAATTTTAAATGGAAAGAGCAGAGACAAAGCCTTATTTTGTTTATATGAAGATATTTATTTTATTTGTGTTACTTATTTATTTGATTTGGGGCTTGCTTTAAAATTTTAATTTAGTTTTGTTATTTACATTTGCATTATATTTAAATTTTGTAATTTAGCAGACGCTTTTATCCAAAGCGATTTACAAATGAGGACAATAGAAGCAATCAAAACCAACAAAAGAGCAGTAATATGCAAGTGCTATATTAGTATATTATTATAGTTTTATATTTCAATTTCACAAAGAAATGTGCAGCATTTTGTCCAAGCAATAATAAAAGGACACATTTAATTTATAATTTGTCTTAAATCTCATTTTGTTAATTTTTTTTTTATAATAATCGTGAATCAAATCGAATCGTGAAATCAAAATCGTGAATCGAATCGAATCGTGAGTTGAGTGAATCGTTACATCCCTATATATATATAATATATTATATAATAGCTGCTTTTTTGAACATTTTAGCTATTTAAAAATATTAAAAAAGGATTTTTTTACACAGCACCCCGGTTGGGAAACACTGGTATACTACATAGCAGCTGATTGATCCCTGCTGTAACAGCAGCCAATACTTTGGTGCAGTGTCCTGCGGGGTTCAGAGGTCCTCTGAAACCCTCCACCTCCCCCAGCACCACCTGTCTAGATCAGTTATGGGGATCAGCTTAATTATGTATGTCTGTTTCTGCAGCAGCATCAAGTCTTACATTCTCACTGTTGCATGTTGTAAGTTTTGACAGTAGCAGATGCACATAGCAGATCTAGTCCGCCAAGACCAAATACATTTACATTCATATTTATTAATTCAGGAGTCGCTTTTATCCAAAGTGACTTACAATTGGGAAATACAACAAGCGATTCATCATAAAGAGGCAAATAAAGGCAGGGAGTGCTTGTAATGCAACGTTTCAGGCATTGTTCAGATTAGTACAAGCTAGTCGGGGAGGGATTAGGGACAGAGAAAGCTAAGTGTTTTTAATACATTATCATATTATTTTATTATTATGCTAAATACAATTCAGAGAGTCGTCATGATTAAACTGAAATAAAATAAACATAACCAATATTTTTTTTTTTTCGTTCAGGTTTTTATATATAATACAGTAATAATATATAATAACAATTTATAATACAACAAAATATTTCTGATTAGTATAACTGTAATAGCAATACATTTTCTTCTTGTTCTCTCAGGCAAAGAATTGACTTGGGTTTCGTTCCAATTTCAATCGTTTACTGGATGTTCTTGCTCAATAAACAGAAACAAAATAAACACCGGTACAAAAACTGTGTAGCTCCGTCTTTCTTTCTTTCTTCCTTAAAGGGGACCAAAAAGGCGCTAAAGACAGTCCAATAATAAAACAGAGCAAACCATTACAGAATGAACATGGGGGGTGTTTGACGAATATACATATAAATCCAAACACATTAAAATTATACCTACTCATGCACTTCTAACTTTAATGTTAAACTTAATTATTCAAATTATGGCTCTTACATACCCAGCCCCTAATTGTATGGGCATGTAAACTATATCAATTACCACTTTAAATTATCTAGAGCCAAAAATCTTCAGAATAAGAGTCTTTGGAGTCATAACTTGAACTTCCATTCAAACTTAAGTCAAACAGCTTCCTGTAGAAGACATATTTTGGAGATGGGTCGATTCAATGTGCTGCTCTTCGTCTGAGCACACACACTGCAAACATTTCCCTTAGAGTCAGGCATTTTCCTAATGATGCGACCTATCATCCAGGAATTCTGAGGTGCATTAGGATCCACAATCAGGACAATGTCTCCAATCTCAAAGTTTCTTTTCAGCTTGGAACATCGCTGACATTCCTGCAGAAGAGGTAAGTATTCCAGTGTCCACCGATGCCAGAAAAGATCCGCCAGGTATTGAATTTGTTTCCATCCAAGCCTTGCATAGACATCATCTTTATTGAACACACCTGGAGGTAAGCTTACTTGTTTCCTCATCAGCAACAGATGGTTAGGGGTCAAGGCTTTGAGGTCATTAGGGTCGTCAGACATTTTGGTAATAGGTCTGTCATTGATGATTGATTCCACCTCACACAAGTGTGTATGTAGACCATCATCGTCCAATACCTGCTGTCTCAGTGTGGAATTTAAAACCTTTCTCACTGTGCGAATCTGACGTTCCCAGACTCCGCCATGGTAAGACGCTCCAGGAGTGTTAAATATCCACTGAATTTCCCTCTTTAGCATCTCTTCTTGAAACGTAGCCTGATTCAAATTCTGCAATGCTTCACGCAACTCCCTATCAGCCCCTGTGAAGTTTGTTCCATTATCGGAACGAATTACTGAGACATTACCTCTTCTACAAATGAATCGGCGTATAGCATTGACACATGCATCCGTGCCCAGAGAAGGTGCGACCTCTAAATGAATGGCTCTAATGGTGAGGCAAGTAAAGAGCACACCATATCTCTTGACCATAAAGCGTCCTCTTCTCACCTCAAACGGTCCGAAGTAATCGACCCCAGTATTAGTGAATGGTGGTTTGTTTGGAAGCAGCCTATCTTCTGGCAAATCTGCCATCTTTTGGACACCAGTCATTGCATTTAATCGTCTGCAGACAAAACATGCATGAAT